GGGGGGGGGGGGGAGAGGGGGGAGTAGGATAACCTTGCTTTCCCTTGGAAAGCAAAGGGTATCAAGGAGGAGAGCAAAAACTCCCTGACTAAGCCCCGTAAGAAGTTGTAACCATGAGACCAAGATGACTATAGTCTACAAATCACAAATAAGAAGAAAACCAGTAAGGTTCTTGTGACTAACATAGCTAAGCAAAGAAAAAAAGTGTTTGGAGGGCTGGGAAGATGACATACTGTAAATTCCTCTGCACTATGATTTATTACAAGGCCATCCACTGGACATCTTCCAAATTGAGGCCATACTGCTTTGAATAGTGTAGCAGCATGTCATGAAGGACTTGCTGTATCGTGACAGATACCACTGAGGTAGCCTACCCTGCAAATACTCCTACACCTTGTGCAAGAAGTGATCTGTGACTTTTCACATATGAGGAAGCTTCACTGACAGCAGCTGTGTTATCAGGAGGAGGGTGGTATGAGTCCAGGAGCTCAGGCTACACTGGTGCTATGAGGAGAGTGCTTTGAGGAGAGGCTAAGGGAGTTGGGATTGTTTAGCCTGGAGAAGAGGAGGCTCAGGGGAGACCTTATCACCCTCTGCAACTACCTGAAAGGAGGTTGTAGTCAGGTGGGGGCTGGTCTCTTCTCCCAGGCAACCAGCAGTAGGACAAGAGGGCACAGACTCAAGCTCTGCCAGGGGAGGTTTAGGTTGGATATTAGGAAAAGATTTTTTACAGAGAGAGTAGTCAGGGATTGGAATGGGCTGCCCAGAGAGGTGGTGGATTCACCATCGCTGGAGGTTTTCTAGATGAGACTGGATGTGGCACTTAGTGCCATGGTCTAGTAATGATGGGAGCATTGGACTCGATGATCTTTGAGGTCTCTTTCTATAAGGTTGATTCTATGATTCTATGGTGAGGTTTTGGCACTATGTTCAACTGGGTTGTGGGCATGAAGAATCTTCCCCAAAGCTTGTTGAAATTGATGGCAAATTCCAGTGAGATATTTCCATTGTTTTTGGTGTGTTTTGGCTGAAGTCCAGACTGAGTCATCTCTTATTCATTGTGTCAGGTTGGAAATGGGTGCATAACAAGTAGATGGCACAAACAAAAGGAAAGAAGGAAAAATACATAGAGTATCTGATGTGGAGGCACTAAAATCAGCAGGGAGCTCTGGATGTGGGCTTATGTTAAAACTTTGGAAATGTTCCACTGATTCTAATGTTCAGACTCAGACTTTACTGTAATTAAGCAAACAAGTCATTGGGAAGGAAGGAAGGTTAAACTTACTGTGATGTAATGCAAGCAAATAAAGGACAGAAACAAAACCTTAAACAGATGTAGTCAGAATGATTGTACTAATTTCTAAATTTTCTAACTTTCACTGTCATTTTCCCTCTAATGTTTAAACAAGAAGTTTAAACAAGAAGTCTCTCACTCCCAGCAGATATCACTGCCCTGAACCAACACTCAAGGAGATTAAGGCACAGAAAAATAGAGAAAAAATTATTGTAGGCCATGTAAATTTATTGCAGGACTGAACAAATTATTCTTGTTTCCTTTGTTTTTAACATCTACACCATGTATTTTGGGGGGGTCAGCTGGACACCATGTTGAAAATACTTGCCTTCATTTTCAAACTGATAGTATTATTTGCCTAATTGTACTGTCACATCAGTTTGGATACTGAATACTGTAAATTAAACTAAACTATGGGTAATTTCAGAGATCTCAGTGTCTGACATTCCAAGTCCTTGGGCACTAGGTGTGCCTGCAGGCAGAAATACACAGTAATAAAAACATTTCTCTAAAGAAGCGCTGGAATTGAAAACCTGATTCCCAACCATTCAGACTGGAAAGCTCTTTTAAAATGAAATAAAAGAAAATTAAATAAGTGTTATGGAGAGCACACAGAGAGGACCATTACACCAGGTATATTGCTTATTCAACACATTAAGTACTGTGGTTGTGAAACATTGATCAAACCACGGTACCAGGGGATTAGAAACGATGGGATGCCATTAATTGCACTAATGTTTTCCTTCTTCTGCATGTATTTCCTAAGCAAGATGTATAGGCAGACCTAGGTCCTGTTTGAAAAGTTATACGCTAGGATCTATTTATATGACCAGGATCTGTACCATTTTGTTGTTAATGCCAAATAAACGGAAGAAAACAAAACAAAAGCCACTTCTGTAAGACACAAAGTTCCTTGCAACAAGAATGGATGGGTTTTGTGGGGTTTGGTGGGGATTTTTTTGTTTGGTTGCTTTGTTTGGTTGTTTGAGGGTTGGTTGTTTTGGTTGGTTTTGGTAGTATTTGGGTAGGAAGGTTTTTTCGGTAGAAACAAATCTTTATTTCAGGAAAAATAAGGGGTGTGATCCTCAGACACAGTAAAAATACAGCCATGTCAGTTTAGACTAGCTGAGCATGCAGTTAATGAATTTGGATTTGGTGATACAGGAAAGTGCACAGGAATTATGTCTGTTAATATAGAATAACGCAGTGAATACAAAAGGACCCCACACAGTTGAGAACCAAACTTGCTCCAATACCTGTGAAGGTGCTAATTTGTTTAGCTGTCCTTCCTGCTATAGACTGAGTTTCCAGTCTGCTCTACTGTGTCCTCTGCCTCTTTGTCCTTCCTGCTCCAAGAGCTAGGCAGACAACAAGGTGAGTTCAACAACTAGCATAAAACAACTCACTTTGTCCATCCTTCCTTCATCCTCAAAGGCTTTTAAAAGTGCCTGTTGTGTTTTGCTTGAGGTAAAACACCACTGCTCAAGACTGTTTTGTCAATATGCACTACTTCCTAACAGAGCACTTGAGGGTCTTGACTGATTTTCTGAGTGCTCTGATAATTAGTAGCAATTCCCATGGTGGACTTCATGGTGGTTTTTTTTCTCACTGAGTTTCTGTGCTCTGGTATCTTCTGTAATCTTTTGCAGTTCTGTTTTACCCTCATTCTTTTTGTTTCTTCTCTATTTTCCTGTTATTTCTGAAACTGTGTTGTTTTGTGTTTCTGAGGAGACACATTTCTTCAAACAACTTTTGAAATGTAGCCAAAACTTGTGCTTTATAGACTAACAGAACTTTTTATATTTCATCCCAGTATTAAATCTTCGCTTAACCTCTTTCTGTTGTTAAAATAACTTCTCAATTGGCTCTCCTCTCTGCAAATTTCCACTGAATATGAATGCTATCTTAACTTGAGTGCTCCTCTCTTCATATTCAAATGTTGCTGAGTACTTGAAAAGGGTTTCCTCTTTCCACAAACATCTTGTGCTACTTGGGCATTCATTTTGATACCTCGGGTTTCCAGATCTTCATAACTCTCTGAATAGGAAGGGGGAGTTTCTGGCATACTGTAAGTCCTAAGCAATTCATGCTTCATCATGATTTATTCTCTTCTCGGTAAATTTCAAAATGCAGCACATTGTCCTATCTGACATATGGGATTCCCAAACGGTCTAAGGTCAGAAGGAGTTAGATGCATCGCCCTTAGTGATATATTTTTATAGCACATTAGATTAAACAACCTGGTTTGAGTTTTAAGTTTTACTTAAATTACTTTTCATTAAAAAATTTTTAAAAAATAGACAATAACCTGTCCTGATGTTTGCAAAGCTAGGTTTTTTGCTTCTGGCAGGCTTAGGACTTTTAAACATAGTTGTAATGGGTTGTGTCTTCAAAGACTGTCATAACTCTTTGTCACAGAGAGGGAGAGACATGAGAAACGTTGGAAATTGGTTTTGGGCTCTCTCCTTTGCAGAATGGTTATAATTTTCTGAAGAGCTATCCCTGGATAATTCATTTATCAGCATGAGAGTTTTATTGTTTTTTCAATATATTGGTTTATTCTCAAATGAGAGAGAGGAAAGCCATCTGGAGTACTTATTTGTTGGCTGACAGTGCTAGTTGCAGCAGTACAGTTCTGTACAGACAAGGGCTTGCAGAGAAAGTCCAAACGGTTTGTTTGATCCTCATTTTTATGTTGCTCTGGTTTTGGCTGCCTTTCTGATTGCCCGTGAGAAAGATGGCTACATCACTACACTTTTTAAGACCATCTCATTTTGTTTATAGAGCTCTTCAATCAGAAGGTCACTGTAGGTGTCTGCTCCAGCTGTTGCTCTGTTCTTTCCCACTCACTGCATTTACACTCACAATGTCCTTTTATTTATATTTGCACCATTCCCCCAGCCTGGGACCATGTGGGGGTCATTTGCCACTAGAGTTGCTTTTATAGGTTGAAGGTTCAAAGGATGTTTTGTCCCTTTCATGCACAGAACTGCAGCTTGGAAAGAGGGCAAGAAAAAGGGCACTCCTTCCTCCTTTCTTCTGTCATGGAGACAGATGTCCACTAAAATTGCACACAAGATGCAACGCGCATTTCAGATCTGGAGTCAGGGTGCTTGCTGTTTCCTCAAACTGCATTACTTGAGTAGTGTAAGGTGGTAGAGACTTGTGATTTACTGAGGAGCAAGGAAGAACAACCAAGAGGGAGTAATTTTCTCTCATCCTCAACAGGGACTATTTTGCTGCAAAATGGCATCCTGGACCCAAAGACAGCTTTCTGCCAGTCTTGCTCTCCTACAGGAGCTGGTGCAAGCCCTCTTCCTGTTTAATGTGCACCAAGGGATGAGACAAAATTTCTGGGTTGAAATCAGTGAGTCTGATTCCTATTCAAAGCAGTGCTCTCTGTCGCTTGTATGATAAGATCAGGCTCCAAGCAAGCAGAGACAGTTTCCCTGAGAGCATACTTTCTGCCATCTGCATACACCAAATTCCTGCCATTTACAGAGAGCCTGCAATCCGATCTTCTATTGACATTTCCAAGCTTCACTTGTCACTTTTTCAGCAAACTTCATCTGGATTTCAGGTTGCCCATAAAACTTGAAAGGGGGTTTAGTAGCAAGAATTTACAATGTGAACATCCAGTTAGAAGAGACCTTACAGGGCCCCTTTAAAGGAGAGCCTTCCCTTTAAAATGAGTAAATAAGAGCCTCTACGTCTTTTCCTCATGAAACTTCATTGAAAATATGAACAGCAATAAATCAGCTACTGAGAAAAATGGTAATGTACAGCTGGGCTCTACTCCTGCATAGCAATGACACTGGAAAAATCACACACATTTCCCTTTCCCTTCTGTGTAAACTGACCTTGTAAAATTTAAGCTATACCCTTCCTAAAATGCCTTTTAGTGCTGCAAAATCCTGGGGAAAGTTCAGTCTACAGGAGCATATGTCAAAACAGGCAAGGAATTGTTTGAAATTACTGCAGAAAATACTGCATCACATTCAGCCTTGTTTTCCCCTCCTCCTGTGCAGAACGATAAATCCCACTTGTTAAAATACTCATCTTATACATCAAAATGCTTTTAAACCATTCTGCAAATTAGTGCTTAGGTAGAGGATCTGGCACCCACATTCATTTGTCTAATGTATGCTGACAGTGTTCATCTATAAATATTATGATAACCAGGGGACAAAGTCCTGTGTGGTTTATTTCTGCATTTGTTTTGCTTTACCTTACAGAAGGACCAAATGTTGTTTAGATTTAGTGAGAAAAATTCCATTGATTTCATGGCATAAATTCATACTATATTTGCCAGGTTATTTCCCTGAAAACAACTGGGTAGCATGAGAGTGTTATACTTGTGCTGCGTTATTTCTTACAGGAAGAAATTTGAAATAATTGATACTTGTACAGTGGGCATTACTAAATGAGACATCTGATTATTTCTCTCATCATTTAATTGCAGTTCTCCCTCTTTGTGTAGATACAAACAGGTTGTTTGTTTTCATTTTGCTTTTTTTCTAATTATAGAGCAGACCACAGGTCAAAAGGTGAAGGTTATACAAGCTGATTTCACGAAAAATTCAGTGTACGAGAACATTGAAAAAAATCTACAAGGCTTGGATATTGGTGTTCTGGGTGAGTCATTAAGGCCTGTTAATTGAAGAGTATTTTATGGCTGTAGTGTATTAAACAGAGCATTGTATAAATGATGTGTCATAACTTATTAGCCAATGCTTAAAACCAAGCAAACAGCTGGCTAATGAATTTGAGCACTGCTTATCATGAATGAGTTTTAAAAGTGAATTAGAATTCTCTAAAGTCTTCCTGCTTCTCTGTACAGTGGCTTCTTTACTGTGAAACCTCTTCTGCCACTTTATAAGCAGCATCCAGCTTGTAGGGTGACTTCTTTCCCATTGGTCTCAGGGAATTAATTTTCACTATTTGTTGTTTTACAGCTGTGTGCAGTTCCTATATCCAGTCTGAAATGAGTCTGTGGCTATCATTATTTGGTATGATCCATGAAGTAAGAGTGAAAAAAGGGGTTTTTTAAAGTTTTGTTGCTTTGTGGCATTTTGTTTGTTTCTGAGAGAAAATAATCCTTTAATAGCAATAAAACACAGGCAAACAAAACCCCAAATCTTTAGCAACAGTCTGTTTTTCTATTCCCTGGAGTCAGCGCTTGACATTAGCTTTCACAACTTCGGTAAGAACAAGACTTGATGCTTAATAGCATTTCTCTTCACAAACAGCTCCAGAGCTTCTAGGTCTTGAGGAGCAGCCATTTGTTTAACTAGATGAACTATGCACTTTATCTAGATTTTGTTCTTACCATTATATTTTCTCTGACTAGTTAACAATGTTGGAATGCTTCATAATCCTCTTCCATGCTGTTTCCTTAACGGACTGGACATAGATGAGGTAGGAGTATTCTGTGGATTTCTACTTCTAATAGAACAACGAGGAATTGCAATTCCATTGAACAAGGGACAGATACTGCCCCTGCAACAATCAGCCTGCATCAAAGTGTTGAGTTGATTTGGAAAAGAACTGGGCCTGGAGAAGCATGTTTTGATGCGGTTTTAATGCTCAGAAGAGCTCAGAAGAGAAGAAGAATGGTAGATTTCAGCTAAACTGCAGCAAGCACCCAGCAATAGAGGGGAGAGTGCAGCTGGCCTGGTTGTAGTGTGTATCAGCAGACTCTTTGGCTCATTGCTTACTTCTAGTGTAATGGGCTCCAGCCTGTTCACAGCCACAGCTGAAAGTGTTGGATTTTTGCTAGCATTATTAAAACTTACTTTCTTTGGAACACCAGTACATGGGAGGCTGGGGGGGGGGGAGGGGAGTGGGGGAATAACACCAACAAATACTAACCCCACAAAACTCACTTAAACACAGTTTTCTTTACTTAATTTACAGATGTAGAATAGTTTGACAGGATTAAAAATGTGATGGAGTCCTTCATTCCCTTATTGTTATTTACCTCTATAGCATTAGGAAAGAAAAAACCCCAGAATTTCTAAGTGTGTTTCTTGCTAGCACCTGTCCCAGGATCCATTTAGTTTATATGTCATCATCTATTACAAATCAGAGAACCCCAGGCAGGCTGCTTCAGTCAGACCTGGCAGCTGTATGATGTCAACTCTGCTGCTGCTATGGCTTGTGTTTTTACTTGCCAGTCTGGGGAGGATATCTCTGCGTGGCAGTGCTTGTGCTGCACAGTCAGCCTACCTCTGTAACTGAGAGCCTCTCAGTCCCTGCCTGGCACCTCTGTCACATGTTTCCTCTGTGCATCCAGCTTGGTTTGCTGGTGCCATCGCTGCCTGGACACCAGGCTTCTGGGTTTCACCACATGCAGCAAGGCATCTGGGTGAAGTAGAGGGCATGGAATCAAGGGTAGGCAAAGCACATCTGAATACCATGTTTAAACTAAAATGAATCAAGATTTGCCTGCCTTTGAGTAAACCTCATCATAGGCAGAGTCAGTGACAATTTGATCCAAGTTAAGCAGTTTTTAAAGTAACTGCCTTGCTGGAAAAATTTCCAGTTGGAATTTTTATCTTTGTTACCTAGGAAATCTATGCATTCTGCATTAACTATGAATTTACTGTTTTGTGGCTTCTTGCAGGACCTTGTCAACTGCAACATTATTTCTGTTACAAAGGTATGTTACACACTCCCTTCTGCGCTAGGTCTGTAATGTATTTCACTGGAAAAAATTAGTCCCATACGAAAGTGACCAACTAGCTTGAATTTTTATCTTTGTTACCTAGGAAATCTATGCATTCTGCATTAACTATGAATTTACTGTTTTGTGGCTTCTTGCAGGACCTTGTCAACTGCAACATTATTTCTGTTACAAAGGTATGTTACACACTCCCTTCTGCGCTAGGTCTGTAATGTATTTCACTGGAAAAAATTAGTCCCATACGAAAGTGACCAACTAGCTTTGTAT